GTTTCCTCCTCCTGCAGCTGCCACGGTGTTGGCCTTTTCTGTAATGTTGCTTTTCTCCTCCTCATATTTTAGTAGAATTAATCTCTGATCCTCACGAGAAATACTTTTTTTCCCTCACATACGGCGCTCTGTGAGGACGCTCAGTGACGCTGCGCTTCTCTCATGATTGTGATTGGTCCGCTGCGTGCGCGTTCACGGCTCTTGATAAATCAATTCTGGGTTGAGTTTCCGAGTTGATATCCAGCGTCGTGATACCGATTATCCTGATCGCCATTGTTAGGGTTAGTCAACCCAGGATAGGTCTCGGTAACCCAGGAAAGGTTGATCTCACTTCGTGATACAGGCCACAGATCCTACTGATCCCAAATAGCTAGGAGAGATTAAAAATGCATACCTAACAAAAGCTCAGGTCTCACGAGGTTAAATCAAAGTATGGCTTCAATGTAGCCTCAGTGCGCCTGAGTTGAATACTGAAGGTAATAGAGAATGATTCATTTGTTGCACTGCATCCACTTTTTGAAATGTCTCTTATGATTTGTAGCATTTGCTGTGTGTTTGTTTTTGTTTTTTTGGCTAAATGTTATTTTGTATTTTTGTTTAAAGGTGAAACAGTTGACATTGTGGGACGCAAGACAAATTTCTTTTTTTTTGATAATAAAGCAAAATCAAATCAAATCAAAATAATTTGCTACGAGCAGGATTCGAAAACAAATTTGACTAAGAAAAGTACAACTCTTCTGACCACTGACAAAAGCAACACACAGTAAATTTAATGATAAAGGCAACTGTGGCAGACAAATAATTATAACATGAGACACAGTTTCTTTGAAAATGGCTCCACTCCAGAAAAAAGTTCATACCTTGACTTTGTTCCAAGAACAAGAACCAAGCAAGGTGAGGCAGCATTCAGTTATTATGCTCCTCACCTGTGGAACAAACTTCCTGTAGATCTGAGGTTTGCTCAAACTGTCAGCTCCTTTAAATCAGGGCTAAAAACACTATTGTTTACTGAAGCGTACTCTTAGATTAAATACTTACCTGCTGTATTCTACTGCCTGTACTTTTTAACTACACACTGCTGATTTATGCCTTTTATTATTCTACTTCTTACTGCTCTTAGATGCAAAGTATTGAGCCTGTTTTTATTTTATGTTACTGTATTTTATTATCGCTATTTATTTATTTATTTTTTGTTACTGTATTTTATTAACACTATCATTCTCAATTTCTATTTCTCTTTTTTAATTGACTGTTTTTATTGTTTTAAATTGTGTCTTGTTGCTTTTAATGTCTCTGTAAAGCACTTTGAATTACCTTGTGTTGAACTGTGCTATAAAAATAAACTTGCCTTGCCTTGCTTTTAACCTCAGGTATGTTGATGCCTCTCTGTCACACAAATGGAACTGTTTTCAAAGCAAAGCAGCTCCAGCTGTCAGTACTGGTACCCTGAGAGCAGTGGCGGCTGCTGGTCTTTCAAACAGGGGAAGCTCACTTTAAGTTTTACATGATAAAATTTGTCATATTGTAGCGAGGCAGTAACTTATAAAAAGAACATTTAATTGAAGCTGTTTTTCAACCACACTAATGCCATAGAACCACAGCAAAACACACCTCAAAGATTTTCAGATGGGTTTAACTGTGAAAATGAGCTGTATCACTTATAGAAATAAAGAACTCCAGACGGCACTCGCAAATATATTTTGTCACATTTATCCAATGACCGTCTCGCTTTGCTGCATGAAAAAAACCTGCTCAGCGCTGTCTCATAGGAATGCCTGGAGGCTCTGCGTCCACCATGCTGACACGAGAATGTATGACAGGGAGGTCGTGTTTGAAAACTGGTGATAAACAACTGATGTTTGAACATCATAGTCATGATGATAAACGCATCCTAGCACATGTTTTATGCAATGTAAATTCTTATTTTACTGTAAATTCAATAGTGCATATTTGACCATTTCTTCTGTGAAATTTTAGGGGAAGTTCAGCCTCCCTTGTTGTCTCAGAGCAGTCGCCCCTGACTGAGAGCAAAGTTTACCGAAGTCAAATTCCTTGTTTGTCCTGAGTAACAGGATGCAGAATGGAGTATACAGGACACACAGACGCCACTGACAATGGGGAAGGGAATACACTCACAGTTTTGTACTGCCAACCTGGCTGGTACTGCAGGGCTAATGATGGAAGGTGGAAACAAATGGGCAGATAAATGAGAGAGACATCCATCTGATGGACAAATGAAGAAGTGCAATGAGGGATGGGGAAGTGAGAAAGAGACTGAAGGAAGGACTGAGCAGGCAGATTGGGAAAAGCAGTACTCTCAACTCTTTTCCAGGCGCAGACCTCTGGGGCTGAAAAATGAAACCAACGAGGAGGTGCCAAAAACTGCAGTTCTTTGAATGGCAAACTTGAGGCTGGCTACAGAAGCTAGTCAATCCCCATTGAACACCATGTCAAAACGCCCTTTTCAACTAGTTATCATACAGAGACAATGTTTCTCTGTACCTGTAGTATGGGGACATGTTTGAGAGAGTGGTGATTTTAACAAGTATACATACAGATACAGATACATTTAACATAGAAAAATATTAACAAGATTAATTTACACTGAACTGTAATATGAGATATGGGGTTATGGTGGTGTGTCAGAATAACTGGAAGCATCTTCCTGTAACTTGTATTTTACATGTAACTGGCATTGAGCATCTACAGTAGATAGATGGATAAACGTGACAAGACAAGAAGCATTGTGCTCTCTATAGGCCAGGTTCAGTATGACATTCCCTCCACCTTGGTATGTACTCAGCTTTCTGCCCTGTCGACATGGCAGATTTCCTGGAATAGTAATGAGAGCAGTAAGTGTGAAAACAACTAGCCCAATACAAAACAATAGGTACAATTTACATCTTATCTTCTCACACGTCACCATCTTTGCGTCACCAGAGCTCAGACATGGATCACAGATATATCTATAACCATATATGAACTGTGAATGACACTCAGTTGAGGTGTTGTGTGGCCAGCAGTAGATACACACAAGTCTGTGACAAAGTAGCTACGGTAGCAGGCACTTGAGCGACACTGCCACGGCGACTCTGCGATAATGTAGCTGGTAACACTTGCTGTGTCATTTGTAGTGTGAACGCAGCATTAGACTAATTGAATGTCTGCTGCATTATACCTTGACGGAGTAGGACCACATTATCATATGCATAGGTCACAACAACAGATAAGCTGGCACTGTATACGCAGTTCCAATTCAATTTTATTTTAAAGCCCAATATTACAAATCACAATTTGCCTCAGAGGACGTTACAATATAGTACATCCTTTTGTCCTCTGAAGCATTGTGGTGGAACAGAGATGTCCAGGCTACGAATCATATTCCACATTTAGGGAACATGCTTATAATATTAATTGATTTTAATATTACAGATCATTAACTTTCTGGGGGTTTTATAAACAGTTTATGAGTGTTTTATCTTTAAACTTGTCACTTATGAACAATAAAGTACAACATGTCCGTTTGCTTTGACCACACCTCGTCAATAGAAAAACATAAAAATATTGATGATAGCATGATAGATTGATAAAAGCCCATAAAACTGGTCCGAAGATCCGGTCATAGATTTCCCTCCCTTAATATGGCTCTTTCACACACAGTATAATACAATCAGGATCAGTTTTATTGTCTCTCTCTCTCCCACCCTCCCTCTGTGTATCATTTTGTCATACGGACTGTCTTTACTGTAAGTTTATTATCTTGGTCTATTTTGTACACTTGACATCTGTTACACATCTGTTCATCCTCTAAGAGTGATCCCTCCTCAGTTGGTCTTCCTGAAGTTTCTTCCATTGTTTTCCCCATGTGAATTTATTTTGTATGGGACTTTTTTTCTTATTTGCTATGAGGGTTCAAGGACAGAGGGTGTCATTGTAAAGCCCTCTGAGGCAAATTTTGATTTGTGATATTGGGATATATATTTAAAAAAAAATTGAATTGAAAAAAATGTTTTGTAAAACCTTTTCTGCTGGTGTTCATTCCAGGAGCATCCTTTTCAAAACAAAACACGGGACACGTGTGCTGTTGTTGGGAACGGAGGGATCCTGACCAACAGCAGCTGTGGAAAGATGATCGATTCAGCTCAGTTTGTTATCAGGTGAGAAAGGTGTCTGTTGTAGTGCACTGAAAGGCTGTTAACAACCTTTATCAACATAATTAAATTCTTCTTTTTTGAAAATTGCTTTTGATGATCTCTATATCTTGTTGTTGTTTGTTCAGGTGCAACCTACCTCCTTTGGAAAATGGCTATGAGGAAGATGTGGGCATCAAGACTGACCTTGTGACAGCAAACCCAAGCATCTTTCTATTCAAGTGAGCAAGAGGATTTAAGGACCTTATATCCTTCCTTTTGTCTTGTTGCTTGACATCTGCTGTTTGTTTTCAGGTATCAGTCTCTATTGGTTCGCCATCGTCCTTTTGTGGACAGTCTGCGTAGCTATTGCAATTCCCTGCTGCTTTGTCCCGCCTTCTCCTATGGCTTTAACACTAATGTGTGCCAGCGGGCTGCCTACAGTGTTGAAGACTTTGAAATCCCCATGCGGCCTGTTTACTTAAATCCTGACTACCTCCTGAGTCTGGTCCGCTTCTGGCGCTCCCAAGGCCTAAAAGAAAATCGACACAGCACCGGCCTCATGATGGTTAGCCTGGCTCTGGAACTCTGTACCAATGTGCATCTGTATGGGTTCTGGCCCTACGGTAATCACCCGCATGGACTCTATGCCCTGACTAACCACTACTATGATGATGTAGCACCTAAAAAAGGAGTCCACACCATGTCGAGTGAGTTTGAGCTCTTGTTGCGGCTGCACAATCAGGGGATTCTCAGGCTTCACCTGGAAGATTGTTCATCAGATTAAAGTTCCCAAAACTGTATTTATCATCATCAATGTTCCAACTGGAGGCCGGAGGGAGTTATTTTGATTTAAATTATGATCTTTTTTGAGGACCCTGTGGGGGTTTATATTGCAGTGCCTTATATTACACAATCACTGATGACAGTTAAATAACTGACCATGGGATAATTTGCTTTTGTCTTTAGACTTGTGTCTGTCTTGTGTAACTCGGAGCATTGCCTTTCATACTTTTTAAAGTCTGAACAGTGTAGTTCCCATTCAGAGAAATAATGTACATAATCAAGGAGACCAAACTAGATAACTCTTTTTGAGCCAGTTTTAGAATCATGTGGGTGTTTCTATCTTTCTTTTTTGGAAAAATGTTAAAGTGAATAAATATTTAGAAAAAAAAAAAAAAGAAATATTTCATTGCTGTAGTGGAATTCAAAAGCTTTTCTTTAGAGGTCTCAGCTTCTATAATATAGTGTCAATGAGCCATAACATGCCCCAAACCTNATATATATATTTGTATTTCGTTGCTGGAGTGGAATTCAAAAGCTTTTCTTAAGAGGTCTCAGCTTCTATAATATAGTGTCAATGAGCCATAACATGCCCCAAACCTGCCAAGATTCATGCAGCATTTCTTTACAAACTACAGATTTGGCTGATCCACTGATTTATTATCATTCATATTATTTAGCATCAAACTTTTTATTTACACTTCAACCAGTCCTTTATCTATGTTTTCTGCGATCTGAGGAATTTTTATCTACAGTGAGGTGTGTGAGGCCTTTCTGCCTTTTGTAACAATAATCTCTGATGTGACCACAGGGTGTCATTCAGCTCAGAGTGACTGGAAACTTTGATTAACGCAGTGGGACAGAGAGGCTTAGTGGACTGGTTACAGTGGGACAGAGAGGGGTAGTGGACTGGTTATAGTGGGACGGAGAGGCTTAGTGGACTGGTAATAGTGGGACAGAGAGGCTTAGTGGACTGGTTGCATTATGCCTTAAGAATAAACAAGCAGAGGAGTTAAACCTGTAGCAGAGGTGGATTTTGAGGTACACAAGACTCACATTCAGACAGGTGAATATAACAGCAAACTCACTGTGATGTAACTGTCTTCAGAGGAGAATGTCAGTGTTGCTAGCAGCCTGATGTTATATGCATGTTTGTTTATTGTTCGTCATTTTTGTTTAATTCAATAATTTTGGCCTGGTTAATTTGTTACACTGGGGAAGTCTGGAGATGTTTATAGTCTCAAAGACTCAGATGTTCTCTTATCACAAGCAGAAGATCCTTCCACTCAACATTTTAGTTCAGTCTGGATTGATCGAGGAAGTGATTATATCAGGGACAATTCAGCTTTTAAAACTAGTAGCTAATTTACCTTGTAATGAGTTAATATAATTCAAAGCCTGACAGACTCAAATGTTCTCTCATCATAAAACAGAAGTTCAACTGTCACCGAATGAACTGCCAAAGTGACAACCAAAATGACACAGCTGACATGAGCTGAAGTGGCACTTCTTAGGTCTCCTGTGTTGTTCCTGCCAGTGACACAACATCAGCCCATGTGACCGTAATTCTCCTGATAGGACTGCAGAGACCTGCTGCTCTCCACCAATCAAAATCAAACACATATCTCATACTGACAACAAGAACAGGACAATACTCAACTTTTCAACATGAGAAGCCTTTTATTTCCAGACGTTTTCTCTTGGCTCTGCAGCCCAAAAAAAAAAAAAGATACAGACACTTTATTCAATATGCATTTCTGATTTATTTTTTTGTAGGAAAATAGGTCTTTTCACATGCAAATGTTTTCATCAAAGAATATGAAAAGAAAAACTTTGCCAGGGGATACCAGTATGGCACTCAAAGAAATGTACATTTTGCAAAAGGCATAGAAAAACACACAAATACACAAATGCATGTATGAATCAGAGTTTGTATTGATAATATCACTGGTTTTATCGTCACATCCCACATGGGTGACTATAAGAAACATGTATGGAAACACTACAGTCCATCTTCTGAACACAGACATTGTTTTACATAGACAGACAGATGCTGAGGGTGGACATTGTGGTATCCCTGATAAAAAAGACCCACAAAAGACTTCTGATACAACCACTTTGTAAGGTGCTTCCACTTATAATTCCTTCAGCTGCCAGGTATGAGGGATAATTAAATGTCAGTCAGCTCTTTTTTGCCACCTTGCAACTGTCAGTACTTTATTACCAATATGTTTTGGCTGAAAATCCTTAAAGAGTCAATGTACTTACACAACAAACGAACATTCCAGAGAGAAACCAACATGGACATACTGACAAACTCGTAAACCTAAACGTTTAGATGCTCTTTATGGGTTGAGAAAAACAGGCCTTCATTATTATTTTCTAGCAAATGCAATGTCGTAAGTGTCAAATTACACATTGACCCACTTATTTAAGACTGTCAGTGCCTAATCTGACACGGCATCTTTACCCTGGGCTTGTCCTGTGTTTGCTTTTGCTTTAGTGTTTCTTTAAAAAGCCCTGGTGACATTTTGGAGAGACATGGTTTTCTCAGGACAGTGACAATGTGTAGAGAATAACCCCTGATACAAGTAATTGTAAAAGCCATTTCGGTCCAATAAGCACACTTTCTATTTACCCTACTCTCTTTTTTCTCAGTCAGTCAACAGACAAAAGAGAACAAGGTGACACAAATACATAACTGTGCCACAGGGTAACTCTTTTGACTTGGATAGCTGCTTAAATTCATTTCTTTTCCCTAAAAACAGACAAGTCTGAGCCACATAACCTAGAATACTTTTAGCGATGTTAGGCCAAGCTGCCAGTTGTGCAGACTCTGAGCAGATGGGGTCTTTCAGTACCCTTATGGCACCTTCTCAAAACGCCCCTTCCTCTCTCTCGATAGTGCTCCCTCCTTGACAGGAAGTCGCCCTCTAGTGGCTTCAGCTGGCTCTAACAGCAAAACATCACCAGCTGCCTGTTTCCCATTTACACTTCAATTTGTTTCTTTGTCTTCAACAAAATGCAGTGAATACTTTGGCTGAGAAACTTGACTTACTGGGGAAGTATTTAACGAGGACTGACTGACTGGAAAACTTTCGGTAAATCACCTGTGGCTAACTGGGAAGGAGCGTCAATGTGTCAAGGAGTGTCAATCACTGCTCTGGAGAGCAGCTGACTGATATACTTCTGGTGATTTATGACTGTCTGCTGCTGGCCGGCATGTTGAACAGATGTGAGAAAGACTCTTTCCCTGTTGTATTGTGCACTGTGTTCATGTGAAGGAAGCCACGTCACAATGCCCAGCCTTACAATGGTTTGACCAGTTCGTTTACTGTTTGCTGGGAAAATCCTCAGATCCTTCAGACAAGATTTATTAAATCAAGAACATAATGTCACGGCTTTTCGGATTTGCTCCCTCCCTAATTTACCGTCTTGAAATGAACTGCTGCTTGTTTGGAGAGCCACTGTGGGCAAAGCTTGGAATGGTTTGAGTAATTTGGCACTTCATGTCTTTTCCTCAATTTATTTCACCATCCACGTTGTCCTGCACACACAGCTGTTCAGCAGATCTCAGAACAATGTTGGAAAAGGAGTAACACTGTTTATTAAAACACAGCCCAGAAGGTTGCTACATACATTAAATATTAATACTGTAACATACAGGGACAAGTCTGGCTTTTTTTCTTTACATCAATAAGTCACTGTAGCCGACATATTATAAAAATATACTATGTCATATTTCACATTTTTACAGTTGGAAGGCAATTTCAAACACAATAACCATAAATATCCATACGACTAATTCATTGTTTAAAGATCTTGCATTTTCTTTATTTTACAAAAACGGTTCTTTAAAAAAGTGTTTTCATATGAAACACTGGCTCAAACACAAAAATTGACTCCATTTTGGAGTTTGCTATTTAAAACCCACTCTGAAAAGCAATACATGTACTGTAATACAAAAAACAAGTGACTTTTACAAAAGGGTTGGTCTCACATAGGCATTATTCCACAACTGGAGTAGCATGGCCACAGTATTCCAAAGCTACAAACAACCAGGCTTCGTGGCAGCCCAGCATAAAATCTTGGCACTGACACTTGCATCACACAAACAGTGTTTGGTCTCACTATATTATAGTAATGGCTTTAAACCTTTTCCATTACAACGTGGTGATATTGCAGCCTTGTGCATCTAACACTGAACTTGTAGCGCTGAGAAGACTTAACCGACACAAGGCTTGTCAATAGAAAAGGAACACTACAGCTGGTTAAGGTGTTGCTGGATGCAGGTAGCATTGGCAATTGGTATCTACTTCCAAATAAAGGAAGCCCAGTAGAAGATACCACCAGGGGGCAGTCAACTACAAGGCAGATGAGACACCAGTGGAGTGCTGAGCAGCCTTATTCAATAGCCATGAAGAGCCAGGAAGAGAAACTGAGAAGTGAAGAGAAAGGTATAAAAACTGGATTGCATGTGCACCTTTATAAAAAGAACTTTTTTTTTCTCTCAGAAAATTTCAGATCCACCTGCTATACTCGTCATTTTCCAAGCAGCAGATAGTGTAGCACAGTTATATATATATTTTAAAAAAAAGAGAGAAAAGAACAGGAGACATATACAAACACACTGTCAAATGCAAAGTCACAGCAACATAACACTGTGATCCACATTGGAGAGAAAGCAGACACAGAACATGACTGACAGGATACAGCCTTCAGGAAGGTGATGCTCTCACTGGATTATCACGTCACTGCTTTAGGTGCTGCCACTGAATTATGTTTCATTTTATTGCATTTTGCATTGTTATGATGTGATTCTTGATAATGCCATTACAATATGGAAACATAGCTTTAGCCTGCCAGAACATAGTAATGACCTGGCATCCCTTTGCCTCTGTACTGTGATTATACTTCAGTCTGATGTCAAAAGAATTAGGATGCCAATGTATTTATATAGACGCTGTCTATGCAGAGGAGCGGCCACAAAATGAGCTAAGCCAAATCTGGGATCAATCTGATTTGCAACAGAACTCATTATCGTTCAGTAATTTTCCGAAGTTCAAACCCCTAAGAAAGGATAAACTGGAAGACAACAGAGGTCAATAATCTGCTTCAGGACTTGAAGAGAACGAGACATGTAAACGACAGACTGCAGCCAACAGTTTGTGTTGGTGTGATGTTTCAAGTTAAACAGTGATAGCCCAGACAAAACAAATTGTCAGCTGCAACATCACGTTTCTTTTGCACACTTTAGTACACAAATACACATCTTCTCCAGCTTGCAGGATTCTTTAAGGCACAGTGGTGTTTAAATATCCAAGGAAGATTGCAACAACTTATCATCCAGTTTCCAATATATACATGGTTTCAATACACGTCACTGTTTCTGGGGTTA